TGGCTAGGTTTTTATATCTATTTTTATTTTAATTAATTGATTTTTCGGAGGTTTATTGAATTATCAATCCTAATCCAATAATATTGGTGCGTGACTAACGCTGGTTGTTATTATTATTTTTGTTTTTTTTTTTAACTTTTAATTTTTGAGTGTCACTTTTTTTGGGTAATGGGGCAGGATAGAGGGTCTCAATAAAAAATGAAAAAAAGAATAAAAGTTTTACTAAAGAAAAAATATACTTTCTACTATAAAAATAAAAAAATAAAAAAGTTTATGACACACCCCGATCCTATAATCAAGGCGTGCTGGCCGTCACGTGAGTGTGACACGGAAGCAAGATATAACAGAAATATAAAGGAATTTAAACCAACCACTAAAAGTAAAAACCTACTAGCATCAAAGAGAGAGTTATAAAGTAAACACACGAATTCAGAGCGTAGGTCTAAGTGCAGTCAAGTAGGACCATAATTAAAGTACAACACCTGCAAGTGAGTCCTACATGCAGAACGTCTGTCAGAATGCCGAAAAAGACCTCGTGAGCCACCAACTGCTAACTAGAACCTGGAGGGGCGCAAAACAAAGATGAGTGGGTCAGTAAAACCAAAATTTTCCAAAACATTTCATTTAAAACATTTCTAACCCCTCACCGTAAAACCTGTATACTTTCCCAGAAAAATAGTATATAAATATATATATATATATATATATATATATATATATATATATATATATATATATATATATATATATATATATATATATATATATACGTAAATCATCAAAACTCAGCTTACCATCTATCAACATAACATCTCAAAAAGAATATGCCATGCCATGCCAAAATATAATATGAATGCATCAATATAACTCAGGTGAAATAATAAATCAACCGGAGACCCTGCAGTGGTCCTGTACGGCTGATTCTATAGCTCAATATCCCATCCAGCCGGAGTCACCAACTGTGACCTATACGGCCGTGCCGGAGTCACCAACTGTGACCTGTACGGCACTACACTGCACATAAGTTGGAACTACCTATAGTAGTCTGTACGACTAAGATGGTGAAATAATACGCTCTAGTGCTTCTCTCATCAATCATCTGTGCACATAATCTAAAGTCACCCACCAGTCGGAACCCCTCTAATGGTCTGTACGACTGGCATGTCGGAACCACCTCTAGTGGTCTGTACGACATCCACCTACTTGGATCCAAGGCGAACGTGCGGTGTGGTGAATACTATAAGCACTAATACCAAAGGTGCAGTTTATGAGCTCACAACGCAATCACATCATCATTCATTCATATAAACCATATAACTCACCTGATACTCACATGTGCGTCCACAGCGTCAATTCACATATATATGCATCAATTATCAATTTAAATATCTCAACAATTGCATGCATGGCAATTTAAATCATATTTTCATATAAACGCATTTTCTGGGAAAAACAGTAGTATGTAGGTAATACGAAAACAAAACTGCCCACTCATTGATAAGTTGATGGGTCGTAACCCCCGTGACGTCCCTGGATGCGCTCGTCCTCGGGATAGGTGTCACCTATATGCGAAACAACTATAAAAACGTTAATTTAAACACATAACCAACAATTCGAAATAACTTCTCATACGATGCTCAATTTGGGTATATGAATATAGCACATCGACCTACTCGACGTCACGGACGTCGAGAAATTTTTAGAAAAATTTTTGGAAGCTGCACGCGCCCCCACGTGCCGGGACAGGCACGGGGACACGCGCCCCCACGCGCATCATCCCTAACCTGCCGGACTGAACTTTCCGGCGGCCGGTTTCCGGCCAACTTTGAAACTCCTTGTTCTCCTTCGTTTCTCAACCATTTTCTTCGTATTTTATATCAATTTGAAGCCCCAAACATGTAGATTCACGATATACTACTTTAAAGCTCCAAAAACAACTAAATCTCACCGGGAAAATCCAAGAAAAACCGGCCAAACTCGAACCTAGTGATCCCGACGTCCAAAACCTTCAAACGAAGCACTCCGAGCTTCCTTGGGACCTCACTAAGCTCACTATAAGCTTAGAATTCCCTGAAACACAACATTTCACGTGTGCATGAACAGTGAAAAAAAATGAGGGGTTCGGGTTCACGTGATATCGAAGGTTCCACGTCCTAAAACTAGCACTAATCAACTCAGAACATCACAAGGATGAAGAATCTTACCTTGTTTGCTTCGATCCACTGAGTTTTGGATGGTTTTGGGTCTCGTTCGTACAATCAGGGTGAGAGAGAGAGAGCAGGGAATCGTGAGGGAGGAGAGAGAGAGTGATACGGGGAAGAGGGAGAGAGCAGGGAAAGTAGATGGTCCAACACCAAATCCTCACCATCCATTTAATCCCTAACCAAAATTTTATAAAACTAAAATTTAAATCCAAAACTTATATAGAATTAATCCAAATAATGTCACACACACGTACCTTAGCCCCCGCTAAGGGCAAATCCGACATTTCACGTCCTTAATAAGAAAATCTCGGGATGGGCTGTGACAGTTTAACTAAAAATAATTAGCATATAAATTAGATTTGTTACAATAGGGGCATTTTAGTAATCACGTTAATTTTCATTCCGATTCAAGTGAATTAGTAAACAATTTATATAAGTTAATGTCATTCCTACTCAAATTCCAGACAGTTTTAGTAAACAATTCCAACAAGAATTTGATTCTGATTCCACCCCATTCTAATTCCTCCTCAATTCAATTCCTCATCAACTTAATTCTCCTCAATCTGATTACGGATTAGTAAACGAGCCATAAAAGTAGTACTCAACTTTCTTTTAGAGCACATATATTAGCGGAAATTTTCTCCGGCACATGTTTTTTCATGAATTAACTGTTGAGATTTAGGACAAATCTCATTTCTGACCTGCTTTGAGGATTGCAAGAAGACAAAATTGTATAGGCTCAAGTGCAAAATATGGGCTTAAACTTTTGCGTCTAGAAGATTTTGGGTCAAGTTAGACCATTGTTAGAACCAATCAAATATTAATCATATAATATATAATATATATATATATATATATAAAATAATAATTGCACACTTCAATTCGAATCACAATTTTATTATATATACAATCTACTAGAATATGAATAATTAGTAAATTTCCATATAAAATCACAACAATAATCATTGACTTGGTTTCGAAAGATAGAGACTTGCAGTAGCAATCTTCTAAGAAAAAAATACACCCCTACATCAGTGTAGTAGTTCACAGATGTCTATCTTGCAAGATACAACAATCTAACCCAAGTTCTTGCACTCAAACTTGGGTTCTTGGCGAATTTGCTATGTGTCTCTCTGCGAAGGATCAAAGAGAGAGCGATGGAATTATGTTCTTCGTTTCTAATATCACAGCCATATATATAATGGCGTTTTTGCAGCAGTTATGGTTGTTCATTTTTATCCTTTCAAAAAGGATGTAACTGTTTTTTGTAATCAGTTTTTTTCCAAAAATCTTATCCTTTCAGAAAAACTGAATCCTAAAATTCGTACTTGTGTTTTTTGTCCAACCGAGCCCAAGAGCCGCCCATCTTTGACATTTAATATATACACCCAAATCTTCAAAGTCTAAGGCTCAAAGTTCATGGCTTTGGCCCAATTCCTTTCAAACAATGAGTGAACTCACTTATAAAGAGGAATTAGGAAGAGTTTATGGTCGATGTGAGACAATGGTTCCTCACAAGCTCCAACAAACATCTCTCCAAGAGAAACTCTAAAAAAAATTTAAACTAGCAAGTGAACAGTATAAAAAAAATTTAGCTGCTCAACTTAATTTTTCATCTCCAACAACACTCTATTTTAACAAACTTTGAATATTTCATTATTAAAAATTCAAACTCAATCCACTCATTTTGTAAAATAATATTCCCTCTTCATTTTCTCCTTGCTCAAGAGTCTACCCTCCATTGTTAGTTTTTTTCACATTTAGCAAGTGAATAGCTGCACTCTAAATTTAAAGAGTGACCATTCATTTTGTTATAAAGAGACTATTTTACAACATCTTTTGGGGATGAATTTTTTTAAGTTTTTCTTTAAAATAGAGTTTTGATTGTTTTACAACAAAAAATACGAAATTCCAATTGCCCTGTTAGTGTGGTGGTACAAAAAATATAGAAAATAAATTTAAAAGGGTAGATTAGTAAATTGCCTATATGGTAGGAGTTGAAGTTAAGGATTCTTCCTTATATTAAGAGCATTTTTATTTGGGTATTTTTTTTTGGATACTTTGGAAGCAGTTCCTAATCCTTAACATTATTTAATTAAAACCTTAATAGTATTCAAAGTTTGATCAAAGTCTCTTGACTTTGTACACCTCATTATATTACTATTAATATTTATATTTTCATAGTTTTGACATTAATTGTTTGATATTTTATGAGTTTATAATCCTATAAATTTAAAATTCCTCATTATAATACTATGTAAAAATAAGAAATAATAAATGGCAAAATAATGTATCCATAGTGTTAAAAAAATTGGTACATTTCACATATGTACATTAATAAAGAAGAATGGGTACATTATAAATAAATTAGGGTACATATAAAAGATTAAAAAATTATGAGTACAAATGAATTTTAAAAAAATATAGGCCCTAAAAGAAATTAATACATGGGCACAAAATAAAACTAAAAAGAAAATACTACAAATTTTAAAAAAATGTTGCAAATTAAAAGTGGGTACAAACTAAAAATATAAATATATGATACAAAGGTTAGGCATAAAACATAAATATACCATATGTAATTTTTCTATCATTGATTAAATATACAATGTCACGTGACGAGAATTATTAGCCTCCCATTGAAGCAGAATCGGATTCTTCCTTGTATCAAGAGAGCTTTTTTATTTGGGTTTTTCATACGGCTCTGTTCTTCTTTTGTCTCTAAGTTTTGATTGAAATTATTACAAGTTAGTTTTCGGATTTTTCGGTGTCGGTTTTTGTTTGAGAGAAGCTGGAATGGGAGGAGTTGGGGAGCTTTTTGCAAGTGCTGCTGTAGGGGCCTTGTTTACTGTGCTGTATGAGGTTGTTAAGGATGTCGAGGACAAGACTATGATGTTTAGAGAGCTCCTCGGAGATCTCGATTCCACGCTAGAAGGGTTAAAGCCGCTGATCAAAGACATAGCCAAGTACAAAGAGGTGTTGGATCAATCAAACAAGGAAGTAGAAAAAAATTTATCTATATATTTAGTTTTTCTAGCATTACTCTAGATATTATATATTGAGATATTTTAAGATGTAGTTTACCATATTTTAATTTAATGCATACATATAATCAATATGCCATTTATAAGATAATACAGTTGATATCGTCGATATTGCAAAGTTTAAATTTTCAAAATATGATCGGTACTACTCGACTGAAGAGCAGTTACTGCAACGTAGAAAGAATGGTAAAAATTGAGGAAAATGATCATCGTCGAATTATTTTCTTAGGGATCATGTGATCAGGACCGTATTGATTCAACACTTTCGTTTGTCTTTATACTTTTGTCTCCTTTCGAAAGTTGGTTTCACAATTTAATAATATGGTCTCTCTCTACTGTGAAAGTTGGTTTCGTGGTGAATTTCCAAGTCTCCCTCCACACTCCAACTCGGAAATTTTCCTGGTGCAGCTACTGTTGAAGTCAACGCGCTACAACCCCGAAATTTCTTTCGAGCTTCGATAGTAAGTATTTATATGCCAAAACCCAGACAGTTTGGAGAAAACCCTAACTTTGTGTTGCTTGTTTTCTTAATCTCTTTATTTTGGAAACCAAATTTATGTGTCTCACTTTTCTACGGTTTCTAAATTCGTAATTCTTATCAAGTATCGGCGACATACTGAAAACTGATAATTTCCGCAATTGGGTGAAAAATGATCGTTTCGGCCAATTTTCCTCTACTTTTGTAAGTTTTTTCTGATTTTGGTGTTGGTTTTTGTTGTTAAGAATCAAGGAATGAGTGGAGCAGCCGGCCTTATCGGGCGGGGCTGCTATCGGAACATCGTTCAATGTGCTGGATGATGTCCTCGATGAGCTGATTACCAAGAATGTAATTTTTAAGCCCCTCCTCAAAGGCATCAAATCCAGGTTAGACTCTTTGGCACCATGGTTGAAATATATAGAAAAATCCTACAAGAAATTGGATCTATCGGATAAGGAACTGGTAAACTTGGAAGTACATTTGGAGGAGGGCGTAGAGCTCGTTCAGAAGTGCAAAAAGGTTCGATGGTGGAGCATGTACAAAAGATACAAATACGCCAACAGGCTGATTGACTGGGATGGATCTCTTCAACGATTTCTGGAAATACTAAACGTTCAGGGAATAAGGGATGTGAAGGAAAGCACGGTTTCGGTGAGGAATATGGAGAAGCTGATCAGCAGAATTGAATCGAATATGGGGATACATTTGGCTGTTTCAAGGGAGACATTTGGTTCAGTTCCAGAACTTCCACGTGTTACAGTTGGATTGGATGAGCCTTTGAGGGATTTGAAGGAGATGCTTCTTAAGGACGATGTCTCAATGTTAGTGCTGACTGCTACCGGAGGATGGGGGAAAACCACATTGGCAACGAAATTCTGTCAAGATGAGGAAGTCAAAGGTATGATAATACTTTCTAATTGCTAATTAATTGAGAAGTGTTATAGATGTCGTTCGTTGAGTTGAAGCCTTTTGTATGAATTAATTTGATTTAATACCAAATCAAACCCAGCTTCGGATATATATAACACCAAAGTTAATCCACAAGTGTAATATTTCAATTGCTTGAATATTATGTCTTATTGGATATCTGGTTTCAAAATTCAAGCTTTCTTTTTGCCAAGACACTTGTGGTATATCAGTAAAGAATCGTCCCCATTACGGTTCACATCTGAGTCTTACAGGAATATAAATGGAAAACCTCATGAGTAGGAATTTACTACACTAGCTTCATGATTGGACTACGTTCCATTACGAATACTTTACTCGTTTCATACTCTTTGCATATACTAGGGCTGTACTTGAGATCAAGATTTAATTTTTTCTACCTCAATGTTACCATCGTGTAGAGAGGTCGCACTTGGTGTGATGGCAAGTGCCTTCGCCCATGAGCGGTAGGTCTCGGGTTCGAGACTTGGGAGCAGCCTCTCCATAAATGGGGGTAAGGCTAGCCGACATTCACCTCTCCCAGACCCTGCGTAAAGCGGGAGCCTTGTGCACTGGGTACGACCTTTAATGTTACCATCGTGTATTGTTTTTTGTTTACACATTTATCTAAATTATTTCTTGTATTGTATTTTGATAGATAAATTCAAGGAAAATATATTCTTTGTCACTGTTTCGGTACACCCCAACTCAGATGTAGAAAAGCTATATCAACGCATGAAGTCTCAGGAAGCAGGACAAGATCCTTTACTGCTGGTCCTGGATGATGTTTGGTCCAACTCTGTTCTTCAGAAGTTTGTTGAATTGAAATTGCGAAATTACAAGATCTTGGTGACATCGAGATCTGAATTTCCAGGATTTGGCACTCCATATAAACTCAAACCCTTGAATTATAAAGATTCAATGACTCTTTTGCGTCATTCAGCAGCCCTGGGAGATAGCTTGTCTGTTCCAGAAGATCTCCTGAGAGAGGTTTATTTCTCACTATGCAATTCATGACACAATATACTTATCAAGGCACAGAAGCGAACACCCATTTTACCATATGAACGTGCAAATGATCATTCACGAATCACATATGATTTTAATTAAGAACTAAAACTAAAATAACAATCAAGATAAGTAGGTAGTCATTAACCATTTTCATGAAACCATTGAGATGTTAAACGAAACTTGAACTTACAGTCTGCAACTCAGATGGGGTTGACATCATTTGGTACAACTAACCTGCAGATACTAAAGCACTGTAAGGGAGTTCCGCTTGCCATTACAGTGACCGGGAACTCACTTAGTGGACAAGCAGCAGAATCCTGGCTTTCAAGACTAGAAGACTGGCGTAGAGATTCTATTCTTGATTATGAGACTAAGTTGCTTCTTTGCCTTAAAAGTAGCATAGATGCCTTAGGTGACAAAGAGGCTATCATCAGGGAATGTTTCATGGACCTTGTTTCATTTCCTGAAGATCAAAGAATCTCTGCTGCTGCTTTCATTGATATGTGGTCAGAGTTATATATGCTAGATGGGGACTTTCGGTCCATCAAGAACCTCCACGAGCTCGCCAGGAAAGGTCTGGCAAATCTTGTGATCACTAGGTACGCAAGATTTTATGCTTCTCCAGTACAATATTCTCTTTGAAAATTTCTATATTCATGAGTAGCTCCTACCATAATATACAACTGCAAGTCTGCAACTGACTGAGTTTGCATTGTTACCAGGAATGAGAATATGGCGATTCTGGATAACTACTATAGCGAACACTTTGTTCGCCAGCATGATATGCTTAGAGATCTGGGTATCTACATTGCGAAACTAGACCCAATAGAAGATAGAAAAAGACTGATTGTCGTAAGTGGACGCAATCAACCCAAGTGGTTGAGGGAGCAGAAGTCTCAACCCATCAATGCTCGCCTATTATCTATCTCCTCTGGTGGTCCCATCTCTCTCTCTTTATAAAATGCATATACATGCATCTACCTATGACCAGCATATGTACACACACGTACATACGCATTCGTGCGTGCTCACATCCAAACACACACACACTCAGATTTGAATAGCACTATCATTTATTTTCTCCACACATATCAACACATAAACAAGTACATGCATATGTACACACGCAAATGCACGTGCACACACAGACACACACGCTAAAATATGCAGTAAAGTTTCATTTAATTCTCACCTACTCATATCTCGTAGCATATTGTTTGCAGATGGAACGTACCCAACACAATGGCAGAGTGTTCATCTACCACAAGTTGAGGTTCTAGTTTTGAATTTTAAGACAGAGAACAATGCCTTACCTGAATTTGTGCAGAAAATTGACAAACTGAAGGTTCTAATAGTCACAAACTATGGTTTATCACCTACTGAATTGAGTAATTTTTAATCTTCTGGAATCATTATCAAATCTGAAGAGAATCAGATTAGAGAGCATTTCAATTCATCATCCATAACCAAGAACTGGGTACCATTGAAGAGTCTAAAGAAGATATCGTTATTCATGTGTAATATGGGTCAAGCTTTCCACAATTGTTCCATCAAAATTTCTGATGCCTGGCCAGGTCTAGAGGAAATGAATATCGACTATTGCGATGATTTGGTGGAACTGCCTGCCGAGCTCTGTGATCTTGTTCATATGAAGGTGCTTAGTATCACCAACTGCCATCAGCTATCTTGCTTGCCTGAAGAGATCGGAAATCTGAAGAAATTGGATGTATTGAGACTAAGGTCCTGTACAGAGTTGGTAAGGCTTCCGGTTTCAATTGAAAACCTCACTAAGTTGCGCTGCCTTGACATGTATAATTGTTTCGGCATTAGGAAGTTGCCTGAAGGCATTGGTAAGATGAGAGGTTTAAGAAAGATCAACATGGGACAATGCTCAAGATTGGAGGAGTTGCCTCTATCAGTGTGGGATCTTGACGAGCAGTTAGAGGAAGTGATTTGTGATGAAGAGAAGAAACCTTTCTGGGATTCCTTCTTAGCCAGAGACAAAATCAAGGTGACAAAAGAAAAATCCAGTCTGAATTGGCTCGAAAAGCCTCAGTTATGAGACCTGTCTTTCCTCAATAAATGTTGGAGCAACATGTTTCTGATTTGTGTTGCATTGTTTTTCTCAATAAATGTTTCGTTCTTGGTTCTGTCCAATTTCTATGTTTCATCATAAGAGTTTTTGTAATACTATTTATTTCAAACTCTCTTGAGTCTTAAGATATTTTGTGGTGTTGTTTTTTTGTATAATCATCATGTTATTGTTTTACACAACATAAATAATGTGTATTATATTTTCTTGGATTATACGAAACAAAATGTGTTCTAACTGCACCTAATATGTTAATTATGCATTTGGTTATATCTATATGTTTTGTTTTTTTTGGTTGCTTACTTTGGTAAAGATTATCTAAGTTGTGGTTTACCATATTGTCAAAATATGATCAGTAGTGCTCGACCGAAAGTGAATTAACTGCAACGTAGAAATAATGGTTAAATATTTAATCAATCATTGCTCATTGGTTCAAAACTTTCGTCTGTCTTTCTCTATGCTTTTGTTTTCTTTCGAAACTTGCTTTCTCAATTTAGTTGGATAAGAAACAAAATTTTCTCTGTCACCATATGAAAGATTCCCAGACATGGTGATGCAGTTTCCTGGTTAATTTCCAAGTCTTCCTCCGCAGTCAATTGAGCTTTTTTTTGTTTATCCTACCTTGCTTGATCACCGACAACGTAAGAGAAAATCGAACTTTGCATTGCTTGTTTTCTGAATCTCTTTATTTTGGGTTCCAAATTTAAGAGTGTCTCACTTTTCCATTATCATCCATCCAATCTAAAAAATAAATTGAGTCAGTTGTGACAACCCGTCTCTAGTTCTACGATTTTATAAATTTTAAAAGAAGGAGTTTACGAAAATGCCCTAGAAGTGAAGTTTTGACTTTCATTGACCAACGTGTAGAGAAATGTATGACTTATTCACTTAGCGCATTTGTGTAGTACTCGTTGGTACGAACGCATAGGTGAAAGCTGTTTGCGAGTCCGGATTATATCGGTATAGTTACAGACATTTGAAATTGGTTATTTAAAGTTTAGTTATAAATTAATTCAAACTCTCACCCTGTGGGAGTGGTAACCAATCAATTTTAAGAGAGGAAAAGGAGAACCAATAAGAAGGGAGAAGGAAAAAAAAAAAAAAAAAAGAAACCTTCATGTCGGGCAGTGCACCTGCACACCCAAACCGGTCAAAATCTGGCCAATTTCTGCCACTTTATTTTGTGGAACACCATATCCACCACCTGCAACATCTTCCCCAATCTTTCTTCTTCCATCTTCGCTCAAGATTGAAGAGTTTTAGGCCCAAAAACGCGAAGAACATCACCGGAGGTGTTTGACTGTGATTCCTCTGATCCGGCGAGTTTCACCACCCACCACCACCCTTAATCAACTCCTCTTGGACCCAAGAACAAGACCCAAGCAGTTGTAGGGGTGTTGGAACATCGAGGAAGTCGAATCGAAGAACACCCATCTTAGGGTTTCCGGCAGGTTTGAGTGAAATTGGAGCCTTTCCCGGCTAAATTGGACTTAGCCACATGTATAAAACTTGTTCTACTCATTGAGATCTTCATTTCTGTAAAATTTGGTAATTTTAAGAAATAGTTGGATTTTCCGACGAGTCGGGGCGGCCGACCGCCACCCACTTCGGCGCGTGCGGTGGCGAGTGGCCAGGGGGCCGTCGATGTCATTCTTAGGCTAAATTAGATGCAATCTAAAAAATAAATTGAGTCAGTGGTCTCTTTTTATTAATTTTTAATGCTTCCTCTCGTTTGTATTTTTTTATTATCTTTTTTATTATTTAACAAAATTCAGAGATAGGGATTGGGAAGTGTTGTTTATTGAGAAATTATCTCTTTCTAATCGTTCTGAACGGAAATGAAGTAACCTACTTTATAGTTGATGGCTAATCTTGAAGTCTTGGTTCCTTTTTAGTGTCTTGTGTAATCCGACGACCAAACTTTATATGTACTTCTACTCGCCTAATATATTATCATCCGACCAAAAAAAAATAAACAGAGTCAAGTCAATCGTCTTTTTTTTTTTAAATTCTTCCTCGCACTTGTATTCTTGAGTATTCTTTTTTATTGTTTAATAAAATTTAGAGATAGGGGATTGAGAATTGATGTTCTATCTTGGAATTAGCTCTTTCTAATTGCTCTAAGTAGGAAGGAAGTAGCCTATTTTATAGTTGATGGCTAATCCCAATGCCTTGGTTCATTTTACTATTTTGTGCTGGTTTAGAGAATAAAGCTATAACTGTAATCTGACGACCAAACTTTATATGAAGTATAGTTCGACTCGTCTATCTATTATCATTCTTCCAACAAAGAAACAAATAGAGTAAGTCAATGGTCTCTTTAAAATAAAGTTTTGAATGAATGAATTAAGTTTTGAGTTTTGCTCTTTTAAAATAAAGTTTGATTGTTTACCGCCAAAAATACGAAATTCCTAATTGAATACACCAATTGAAAGGTTCCAACTTGCGACTGATTGCGAGTGAACACAACAATTTTCAGAAAAAGGAATGGAAAATGGGTTTCTGGTAGGCGGATTCCTTGTCCATAAAGAAATAAAAGAAGAAATCCCCAATACACACCAACTGTTTTGCGTTGTGGTCCACAAAATTGGAAAAAGAAAAAGATGCAGGTTTCATCATATCAACGATACAAGTTGCAGGATAATTTTAAAATTTTAAATTATTTCAAATATTATTTTTATTATATTAAAATTTATCTTTGGATCATTGCATTGTAATTACTCTCTTGTCGGAAGCCATGAGTGTGATATTTTGGTTAGAGCAGCTCCAGCGGGAGCTCCTGCTCGAGGGACAGGCTCCGGAACAGGGCTTGATTGCCCGAGGGAGGAAGTCCAGCGTTGGCTGGCGAGGGAGCCCGAGCACCCCCGAGCGCCAGGCCCGTCGATTCTCGCCGGCCCGAGAGCCTGAGGTGGGTCTGACGTTAGCTGACGTCAGACGCCTGTTTTAATGTTTTTTTTTCTGTCGAGCCTCGAACTCCTCCAACATCTCGCCGATCTCGTCCACTATCCCCATCCTCTCTAGCTCCAGCGGTGGTCACGGTGGAGGAGGAGAAGGAGTTGACGGAAGATTCGGAGCATGCGATTTCGGCACCAAAATTGTGATCTGATGATGCATGCAAGAGAATGAGAGAGATTAAAGAGAGAGAGCGGTTTCAGAAATGAGGGGGTTGCGTCGTAGAGAGAGAGAGAGAGAGAGAGAGAGAGAGAGAGAGAGAGAGAGAAATGAGAGACAGAGGGCTAGGAAACATGAAGAGTGTTCTGGAAAAAAATGAGAGAATGGTTGTCGGTTGAGTTTGGAAAAATGAAATGGAAAAGGAATAGGAAAAAAGAAAAAGGAAAACAATTAAAAATGATTTTGTATTATTTTATAAATAAATAAAATACTAATATTTTATTGCCAATTGCCCCGGCTATTCAGTGCAGGGGTGGAGATGCAAAAGACAATTGCCAGGGGAATGCACTATTTATTAAGGGCGGTTACTGTTCATTGGGTGGATTAAATAGTGAATAGCCTGGAGGGAGGGCTCCTACACTGGAGTTGCTCTTATGTGAAGCTTTTTCTTGGTCAGTCAATGGCAAAATCAATATATTCTTTTCGGAGTTTCCTAGAAAGCAGCTTTGCAATTTGCTTGGTAGGTCAATAAGCTAGGTAAAAGTAATAGTTACTGGATTCAACTCAGCCGATCTGAGCCGACTGTGCGTACTATACAACGCGCTCAAACTCCAAAATTTCCGTTGCCCCTGGTTGACCTGGGAATCCCCATGATCTTCTAATGCAACAGAAAAGATAGGGGATAGAAACCTGGGAATCGCTTAACCAGGGGCAACAAAACTCGCTCAACATACCTAATCGTGAAGTCGCTCACACGACCAAGTCAACTGCTTGATTTTAGAAGGAAAAACAACTCACTTCGATTGCACTAAGCAAATATATTTTAATTCATTCAAGTCTCCTTTCTCAAGGGTTTAGTACATATATTTACAAGGAATACAACACAATGAAACTCAATTAAATATATTTGATGGTTCCAATACTCATGACTCTTGGTATATTCCAATACTTGCATGAGAGCCTTGGTCGGATGATACCGAATTGAACTTTTGCTCCACCCCAAAAATATTTAAAATGTTCTTAAATGATTAAATTATTTGTGTCGTTCTAAAACTCAATTAAATATATTTGATGGTTCCAAAACGCATGACCCTTGGTAGATTCCAATACTTGCATAAGAGCCTTGGTTACTACATCAGTCTCCCTCAACGGTTAGTTGAACTTTTTTTTGTTTATCCTACCTTGCTTGATCACCAACAACGTAAGAGAAAATTGAACTTTGTATTGCTTGTTTTTTGAATCTCTTTATTTTGGGTTACAAATTTAAGAGTCTCACTTTTCCATTATCATCCATCCAATCTAAAAAATAATTGAGTCAATGGTCTCCTTTATTAATTGTTAATACTTCCTCTCGTCTGTATTCTTTATTATCTTTTTTATCATTTAATAAAATTGAGAGATATTGATTGGGAATTGTTGTTTTATTGGAAAATGATCTCTTTCTAATCGTTCTGAGCGGAAAGGAAGTAACCTACTTTATAGTTGATGGCTAATCCCGAAGTCTTGGTTCTTTTTTATTGTTTTGTGCTGGTGTAGAGAGTAAAGTTACTATTGTAATCCGACGATCAAACTTTATGTGTAGTTCTTTAAGTCCTTATTGTGGAGCCAAAAATATTCACTAGGCGACACGTGGACTTTTGAACGAAAGAGGACAAAAATACCCTTGAGGCATACCGGGATTCCTACGCGCAAGTAGTGGGTAATCATCGTCAACCAATTCAAAAATGCTCCAGAAGAGGTAACCAATTCCAAATTATCTTATTTTAGGTAATTATTTCCAAAACTTAATTTCTCTAATATATTATTTAGTTAATTAATTATCTAAATAATATATTCTTCCCATATCTCCTAAAATCATCCCTTAATTATCAATTTGAAACATCCACTCAAACCTAAAAAATAGTATAGGGCCGGCTATCCCATTCAAAACCTAATCCATCACATTTTTTCTACCTTTTCCATCATTTCTTCCCTTTTATTAGCCAATCAATACCATAAAGTAC